GTGGGCGGGAGCACCCATGGAATTTCTCTTTCCATGGCTTGTCTGTTCTCAGAATCAGGAAGCCCTGGCGGCAGCTGTCAAGACCAGGAGACAGGACATGTCTTTGAGGCCGCCATTTTGGACTTCAGCTCATGACTTATCCGTGGCTTTGAAAATCAACTTAGTGATTTGTGGTCCACTTTGATTTAGCCAACTGAATTTAGCCAACCAAATTTTTAGAACTGATGACATGCCTGAGGAGGAAGAACTGCTTCATAAGATGATTTGGACCCATGTGCTGGGATGTGTTCTGGGTTATGACAAAACCATTTCCCGCGTGCCCAGAAGAGTGGGAAGAAATGAACACTGGACAGTGTCTAGGTAAATTTGTGATATAGTGGACAAATTTCCACGTGAAAAATAGAGTTGGGGCTGGAGAGAGAGTATAGTAAGGTTCTTGCTTTGCATGCGACTGACTTGTTTGATCCCTGGTACCCCATGTGGTCCCCAGAGCCTGCCAATGCTGGTCCTTGAGCACAGTGTTAGCAGCAAGCCCTGACCTGAGCACAGCCATGTGTGCCCCCAGCCCTGGTCCCCTTTCCCACCAAAAGAGGTTAGAATAGTCACAAGACTTTGTTAGACTTTCTAGGCCAATGTTCTAATCCCTCCCTGCATCCTTACCTCCAACTCCCAGGGTAGGAAACCATCCTGAGTATTTCAATAAAGGTGTTCCCTGGAATCCTCAAAACACTCTCTGCGAGGTGTTAAGGTACTAAGCAGAGTTGGACTTTGGACTTAGTATATTTCATAGCAAGTTTGACTTGATCATGTACTATCAGAACTTATGATGTTCTCCATTTTGGAGTTTTCAGGCCACTAAAGCACAACCAGTTATTGAGATCAAGAATACTGTCTGTGTTCTAACTTTATCCCAGAAAAAAAAAAACCATGACATTCAAATATGCCATGTCCTCCTTATGCTGCACCAACCACAAATTTTTGCGTTTTAATTTTTAATTTTATTTTTATAAAGTTGTTCACAATATTTGATATTTCATATTCAAACACCAATCCCACCACCATTACACCTTACTACCACCATATTTCTATCCTGAACCCCAAACCTTGTCCCCAAAGAAGAACTGAAATAATTTTTTTTTGTATTGCTTGTTAGGAATAATCCACTAAAAATGAGACAAAAAAGGTTTCTTAGAGGAAAGTTTGTGAAGATTGTTGTATTTCACCCAGGAGCCATTAACCTTTAAGCCCTTCTGTAAGAGGTTAGTCACATGTTGTTAAATACTGAGCCTGTGTGCATAGATAGACAGACAGACAGACAGACAGATTATATGTAGCACTGTCCTCCTGTTGTTCATAGATTTAATCGAGCGGGCACCAATAACGTCTCCATTGTGAGACTTGTTACTGTTTTTGGCATGTCGAATACGTCACGGGAAGCTTGTCAGGCTTTGCCGTGTGGGCAGGATACTCTTGGTAGCTTGTCGGGCTCTCCAAGAAGGGCAGAGGAATCGAACCTGGGTCGGTTGCATGCAAGGCAAACTCCCTACCTGCTGTGCTATCGCTCCAGCCCAGATAGATAGATAGCTCTGTATAAATATATTTCCTTCTAAGATTGGCTGCTTTCTACTTTAAATTCCATCAAACGTGGTGTACTACTCTTGGTATATTGATGATGTAAAGTGAGATGTCCAAGAATAGATTCACTCATGGTTGAGGCCTGTCCAAGAGTGTGGAAAGTGGCCGTGAGCATTGCGGTGATCGAGTTCTGGAGGCGGCTGGGTACTACAACTGGGTCTCTTGGGGCAGGGAGGGGACCTAACCTGCCCCCCTCTAGGTTGCCCTGAATGGAACAGCCTGGCACGGGGTCTGGCAGCATGGCTATGTCATATCGTTCTGTGCTCTCTTCCACAAGATTTATATTGAGTCTCTGGATCCTGGTCGTTGATGAGATTATGTGGTGCCAGTGGTGGCTTGTGGGGGGTGAGTGCCAAGCTGCTGGAAACAGGGGGAGGGAGTGGGACGTGACACATTCCTGGTTCCACCAACTGCATTTTTAATGGATGATCTAACCAGGTTTTGTGTCTTAATTTTTTTCCTTTCAAGAACGTTTCTTGGATTATACCAACCAAATATAACTTCACTTAGAAAAAACTTTTAAGACTTTATGTGCCTGTTGCAGGTAAAATACATAAATATAGTTAAGAATGTCAGTAGGTGCTATAAAAATGACCATTTAAATATCTGATTCTAATGAGCAGAGGCTATTTTCTAGACATTGTAATTTGGAATAATAAAAATACTCCTCCAATTCTTTATTTTGCTTGATGGTCAAAAGTGGTTTTATGATGATTCATTTGGATCGGTTTTCTATGCCCCTGATCAATTTTGATACCATCTGAGATTTTGTTCAAAGTACTTTTTCCTTATTTAAAAAGTGATATGGGGGCTGGAGCAATAGCACAGTGGGTAGGTCATTTGCCTTGAAAATTGTCACTGTCGTTTGGCCTTGCCAACCCGAATTTGATTCCCAGCATCCCATAGGATCCCCTGAGCACCACCAGGGGTAATTCCTGAGTGCAGAGCCAGAAGTAAGCCCTGTACATCGCCAGGTGTGACCCAAAAAGAAAAAAAAAGTGATATAAAATTTAGTTCATTGGAAGAGCAGACATAAATGTTATACATAAAATCATTAGCACTGTAGCATTGTCCTCCCGTTGTTCATCAATTTGCTTGAGTGGGCACCAGTAACATCTCTATTGTGAGACTTCTTACTGTTTTTGGCATATCGAATATGACATAGGGAGCTTACCAGGCTCTGCTGTGTGGGCGGGATACTCTCGGTAGCTTGCTGGGCTTTCCGAGAGGGACGGAGGAATCAAACCCTGGTCGGCCACGTGCAAGGCAAATGCCCTACCTGCTGTGCTATCACTCCAGTCCCAGATAAAATCATTACATGTAATAATTTACATGTGGGCTGGAGCGATGGCACAGGGGTAGGGCATTTGCCTTGAGCGCAGCCAGCCCGGTGAGCCGGGTTCAATTCCTCTGCCCCTCTCCGATAGCCCGGCAAGCTACTGGAGAGCTACCAAGAATATATCGCCTGCACGGCAAAGTCTGGCAAGCTACCCATGACGTATGCCAAACACAGTAACAAGTCTCAAAATGGAGACGTTACTGGACCCGCTGGAGCAAATTGATGAACAAAGGGAGGACAATGACAATTTACATGTACATTACATAAAATAATTTACATATGATTTTAAAATGTTACATGTAAAATATATGATACATGTACCCCCTTATAATGTTCTTCATTGTTTTTTTCAGATGTATACAAATTTGAAACACAAGTAACCAAAGGCAGAGATAAGGCTTAATGGGAGTAGAACCAAGCTCCAATAAGGGTTCAAGAACATATTGGATGCATCTCTGGAACCTCTCAGCCTCTGACTCTCTGCAGCCCTGAAGACTTCCCAGTGTGCTGGGGTGTCCTGGGTGACATCCCAGCACCGCACCTCAAGATATTAGCAGAGGAGAGGCCTCCCAGGGTTCTCACTGACCAACTGACCCTCTTCTCTTGGGCTGGAAGGGCACCCCGCCCCGCTCCTTGAGCACAGCTAGGAAGACCATATAAGGGAGCAGGAGGACCCAAACATGTTCGTTTTACGTACATCCCTACATGTGTCCTAACTCTACTTGCATCACTTAGCTGTAAATCAAAATTGAGTCTGGAACCACCTTTTAAGGCTTTGGGGCTCGGTCTTATCAAGGCTTCTTCCAGTGGTTTCACTTCTCAAAGCGCCAAGAGGGGCAAAAAATTGCAAAAGAACATGAACTCCATCTTATTATACAGAGTAAATCAATTTTTCTTTACCTAGACCGGCACTTCTTGTTTCTTCCCAGCTATAAAGCATTTCTTTGGGAAAGGAAATACACGGAATCAAGCCTATCACTTCTAGCGCGAGCTCTACCATGGAAAGCGCTCTCCCCTTCCATTTTGCAAGCCTCAACAAGTCTGTTGCTGAGTCAGAACCTCCCTTTTTACTCTCCGATGTGAGAAATCGCTCTCCCTTGAAAAATTCATAAAGCATCAGAAATGTTTAGCATCTCCCTAGGGGGGAAGGGGCGGGGATGCTGGGATGCGGGCTGTGGAGAGGACCCGCGTCCACACGCACAGAGATCCTGGGGAGCGGAGCGCATGCCTGAGACCCGGGGACTGGGAGTCAGACCCAGGCCGGGCACCCAGCGGAGCTTCCTGAAGCCCCTCGCCAGCGCCTCTGCACGCACCCGGCCAGGAGCGTGGAGCCGCTCTGGGTGCCCGCCTTGGGTGCTGGGACTCGCGCCCTCCTCCCACGAACGATCGCACTCGGTCTGGGCCGGGGCTCGGCGTTTATCCGAAAGAAAAATCCGCTCCGGCGGCCGGCCACGGGGTAGCTGAGCCCAGAACCGGGCCCGGGAAAAGACGCTTTTCCGGGCTAAGTGGGTGCGGGACTCAGGGTGGGGGGTTGGGATCGAGGGGTGCGGGTTGCATACGAGAGACCCCCCCGGACCGGCGAGCTAACTAGACGCCCTCCCGGGGGGGTGCACCCCAACAGGCGGAGAACCCGCGCATCGGAACTCCGTGGGCGCCGCGCACGCCAGCGCGTGCCCGCGCCTCAGTTTCCCCCACCAGCTTTAGTCCCCGCGCCCCAGGCTTCACGTGACCGAGGGTGGGGCGGAGGTGACCGGCGGCAGGCGGCGCCGCCCAGGGGACTGTGCGGGCTGCCGGCGCGGGCCGGGCAGCAGCGGCGGCGCGCGCACGCCCCTCCGTCCGGGCCGGGCCGCGGGCGGAGGGGCGCCGAGCCCGCGCCGGGAGGGGCCGTTGCCCGGGAACCGTCGGCGCTGCCCGCGCGCGCGCGCGCCGCGCCAACCGGCGGGGAGGCGCCGCAGGACACGCGCCGCGCGCTCCCGCGCCGCCTGGGCCCCGCGCGCGCGCGCTCCCGGGCTCGCCCGCAGGGCTAATGAGGGGCGGGCCGGGCCGGCCGGGGGGCGCGGCGGCCGCGCGTGCCGGGACGCCCCGCGGGGGGCGGCGCGATTGTGAGGTGGCGCTGACGCACGTTCCGGGCTTCTTAAGCGGCCTGGGCGGCGGCGGCGGCGACGGCGGCGGCGACGGCGGCGGCAGCAGCCGAGCGGCGCGTCTGGGGCGGCGGCGGGGCCTAAGTGGGCGCCCCCGGCGCAGTCATGGTGTCCCTGTCGTACTGACCCCCTTCTTGCCACCCCCTGCACCCCCACCTCCCCCTCCACGTCCCGCGGCCGCGCCGCGCCCGCCCGTCCGACCCATGAGGGACCTGGGGTTCGGGGTGCTGCCCCCCGGGGCCGCTCGGGGCCCGGCCCTGCGCCGCCACGCCCTGCGGCCCGCGCTCGCCGCCGCCCTGGCCCGGCCCCGGCCGCCCGGAGGCCGCGTCGCCCTCGCCGCTCTCGCCGCTGGCCCCGGGCCGGGGCGCGGGCCGCCCGGCCGCCGCGCCCTCGGCGTCCTCGGCGTCCTCGGCGCCTCCGCTCCGGCCGGCCCTGCGCGACGAGCCGCGCCTGCTGCCGCCGCCGCCGGGCCGGCCGCGCTCGGGGGCGGCGGCCGCCGAGCACCAAGTCCCCAGCCACCTCCCCGGCGGCGGCGGCGGCGGCGGGGCACGAACGCGGGTGTGACCCACCTCCTCCCCCTCCCAGGACTTCAAACCGAGTCTGCACCACCCCTCCTCCTCCTCCGCCTCCTCCTGCTGCTGCTGCCGCACCTCCTCCCCGCAGGACTTCAGTAAGCGGCAGCAGCAGCCGCGGAGCAGCCAGAAGAGGAACGAGCCGAGCCCGCCCCGCCGTCCCCACCCTCCGGACTCGCCGCCGCCGCTCGCCCCGCGCCCGCAGCCCCCCGCCGCCGCCCGCCGCCCGGCCGCCCGCGCCCGCACCCGCCGCCGGCCCCGGGCCCCGCGGCCGCGCCCGGCCGACCTGCCCCCCGAGCCCGCCGCTGCCGCCGTCGCCCGCCGCCCCGCGGCGCCGCCACGGGGGCGCGGGCAGCCCTCGCCGCACCCCGGCCGCGGGCGAGGGCAGCGCCGCCGAGCCCCCCCGATGCGGGCCTGGCCGCCCCGACGCCGCCCCTGAACCCCGCGCCGCCGGGCCCCATGGAGTCCCCGAACCACCCCCTGCTCGGCAGTCCCGGCGCCCTCCTGCCCGGCGCGGCGCTGGGCGCGGGGCGCCTTCGGCAGCCTGCAGAGCGCGGACCTTCCGCACCCGGGCGGCGGCGGCGGCGGCGGCGGCGGCGGGGGCGGGGGCGGGGGGGCCCCCCGGCGGCGGGGGCGGCGGCGGCCCCGCGTCGCCGCCGCTGCCCGGCTTCGGCACCCCCTGGTCGGTGCCGACGGCGTCGCCGCCGCCGCCGCCGCCCGCGTCCCAGCCGCCGCCGCCGCCGCCGCCGCCGCAGCAGCAGCCGCCGCAGCCGCCGCCGCCGCCGCCGCCGCCGCCGCCCCAGCAGCCGCCGCCGCCGCCGCCCCAGCAGCCGCAGCCGCCGGGCTCGTCGGCCGCCAGCGCGGGCGGCGGCGGCGGCTCGCTCAGCGCCATGCCGCCGCCCAGCCCCGACCCCGAGAACGGCTTCTACCCGGGGCTGCCGTCGTCCATGAACCCCGCCTTCTTCCCCGGCTTCACGCCCGTCGGCCCGCACGGCTGCGCGGGGCTCGGCGGCGGCGCGGGCGGCGGCGGCGGCGGCGGCGGCGCGGGCGGCGGCGGCGGCGGCTTCGGCGGCCCCGGCGGCCCCTTCTCGGCGGCCGCGGTGCCCCCGCCGCCCGCCATGAGCCTGCCGCCGCCGCCGCCGCCCGCCGCGCCCCCGCAGCCGCCCAGCCGCCGCTCGCCGGTCAGCCCGCAGCTCCAGCAGCAGCACCAGGCGGCCGCCGCCGCCTTCCTGCAGCAGCGCAACTCGTACAACCACCACCAGGTACGCGCGGCCGGGACGCGCCCTCGGCCGAGCCCCGGGCGCCGCGGGGACGGTCCGTGGGGGTCGGCGCGGGGGGCGGGCGAGGGGTCCCGGGGCGGGGCGGGCCGCGACCCCGCTCCCCGCTGCCCGCGCACGCCCCCCCCCCCGCGGGGACGCTCGGAGCCCGGGCGGCTTCGGGGCGCCCCGCGGACGGCTCGGAGGAGCTGAACTTGAACCTGGCATCGGGGGTGACCTCCCGCAGCTCTGGGCGCTACTGGGGATCGCCGGGCGGCGGGGGCGACTTCCGGGAGCTTCGATGAGTGGGGTGCTCCTTGTTTCTTAGGGCTGGGGGCGCAGCGCGGATCTGTCTGTGCCGGAGCCCCCGAAAGAGGGCATGTGGCATCGGGAATAGCGCGCCGGACAGCCTGCGGTGCCCACCCGACTCCGAGCACCCCCGCTTTGGCGCGGGCGCGGCGCGGCTGCTGGGCCGGTGCGCTGACCGAGGCCGAGTCCCGGGGTCGCGCGCCCCCGAGTCCGCGTCTGATTCTGGGAGCCGGCTCGGGCAGGCCAGGTTCCTGCTCGAGGACGGCGGGGGAACCGGGTTGAAGCTCCTCCCTGGGCCGCCGCCGCCCGGAACTTTTCCCCTCGGCCAGTTCGATTTTTTCCCGGGTCGGAGAAGGTGACCGCCAGCCAGATGCACCCAAGTTACAGTTGCACAGTTTGTGGGACCGAACCGGAGTAACAGTTTTCCTGGAACCTCGGGTTTCTCCCACGGGGCGGGGGGGGCGGGGTGGGGAAATGCGGCCCCTCGGGGTGAAACCCGAGGGACTTTTGAGGTCCTCGGCCCTGACTCGGTCTCACCTGCTCGGGAGTGACCGCCTCTTTGTGACTCAGAGCCTTCGGGTTTTAAAGGAAACTGACCCCCGAAAAAGAGGGCTTGCGTTCTCCCGGTGGAGCCTCGGAGCACTGTGTGCTAAGATCCCTTTTGAACTGGAATCTGCTCCCTTTGCCCTGATGTGGGTCTCCCGTGCAGTGGGAGAGGTCACCAGCTGTCATGTGGAATTTTACATCCCCGGGAGAGAACTCAGAGCACTGGAGCGGGCAGGAGAGTCAGACTCTCTGGAATGGAAGTGATTTGCCCGCGGTCCCCTAGTTAAGCCTTGGTGTGGAGGGGAAGGCACTCTTCGTGGTTATATTAGCACTGAGATATTTGTGAAACAGACTAGGGATTAGTCCTTCAAAAATGGCCTCCTCATATGAAGCAGGTTTCGTTGTGCACGCGTCATTTTCATTTGAAAACCAGCGTTTTGATTTTTAGAATTTTATTAACTTAGAGCAACTGTATGGCTTGTGCTTCGTTTGGCAAAATATTAGCAAAAATTGCTCAAGTTTCAGCCTAGTGACAGATAACTGCTAGCAGTTCCTTAAAAATGTGTCATTCTAACCTCTTGATGCATTTTTGATTCCTTCTCATCATGGTTTTAGTTTGGAAGATAATTTAGCTTTGAGAATGAGTAAACTAAAAAGATACTCATAATATAAAGATATCTAGGATCAATTAAAGCATGTAGTTAGTATATCTCAGTGGATCCACCTATGGGTAATATCAGATAACAGCTTACTAGTTCATGGCTATGTGACTAAAAGAAAAACCAAAACACCTTGAAAGAAGCTGCTCTGAAATTGGGATGGATAAATATTGAATTAGTAATGCAAAAATTAAAAAAGTTGAATGTTTTAAATGTTGAATTAGCAAAAAAAAAAAAATGATTGTACTTTCCCAATGCCAGTAGACATTTTAAACCCATTCAACAGAATAGCACCAAATTTGATCATGATCATAACTTCTGTAACTTGTCTAAATATTTCACCCATATGGTCGGCCACTCTAATAAGAGCTGCATTTTTAATTTTTGCCTGCTAGAATGCGGTTGCTCTTAAGTTGACAACGTGGGTTTTAACTTTAAGGATCTTAAAAGTTCATTCTGATTCAGAAGTATATTTCTTACTTATGTGGTTATCTCTGAAGAACAGAGTAAATGGTTCTGTTTCAGTAGCTGTCCTGAAAGGGTGCTTGCTTTAACGCTAGTCTGTAATAGATTAAGAGAATGAAAATTCACCTTGTGTGAGGTGTATGTCTTCATGTAACCAGACCTCAAGCTATATTGTAAACTTTCTGGGGCGTATGGTGTTGCCCCTGTTTCATTCGTTCTTGAAGCTGATTGAAATTCTTAATTTGGGTGTGAATTTTGAGTTAGAGGTCTAAGCTCCTCAGGCGCGTGCCATTGAAGCAGCTGTGTTCCCTGCAGCCTCTTCTGAAGCAGTCTCCCTGGAGCAACCATCAAAGCAGTGGCTGGGGCACTGGCAGTATGTCGTGGGGAGCCATGCATGGCAGAGACCATCGCAGAACTGGAAACATGGGCATTCCAGGGACTATGAATCAGATCTCTCCCTTGAAGAAACCGTTTTCCGGTAATGTCATAGCACCACCAAAATTTACTCGCTCTACTCCGTCACTGACTCCAAAATCTTGGATTGAAGATAATGTGTTCAGAACAGACAACAATAGTAATACACTCTTACCCTTACAGGTAAGAATGGTATGTAAGTGGTCTTATTTCTAATATGAGTCTAATCTAATATGAAAACTCGGAAACTGGGGTGGGGTGGGGGAGCTAGTGGCGGTAGCGGTGGTAATGGTAGGATGGTAAAATGGACGGAAAGAAATTCTAAAGCATTTAATTTACCAGTGGATAAAATAGCCAGGGGGAAGTAGAAACTATAAGACCTTTTCTAAATTGAAAATAAGGTTTGTCAAACATGGGAAAACCTGCAATTTCTTCTTAGGTACATATTGAAGCTTTTACCTCGTAGTTTCTGAAGATTGCTTTAATTTATTAGTCTTAATTGGCCCCCAAAGTGACTTTTTCCTCCAAGTTTGACAAAGCTAAAATGTACTGTTATTGGACATAAATTTGACTATCATCCACTGTGTGTATGTTAGAAATAGTACAGCTGTGGTTATAGCAAAATGGTGTTAAGCATTTTTACTTTAAATAACAATGAGTCTTCACTGCTTCAGTGACTTTCTAAATGTGGCCTGGTAGTTATGACTAGACATTTTTTCATTCCTCAGGCCTTTGAATAATTTGATTGTTTTACAGATTAATGAAGTCCCCTTGTGACAATAAAAAAAATACTGTTTTGGTTTTTGCTAATGTCTTGGGAGGACAGAACAAAGGTCCAAGATAGAACTTTGATTGTTTCTGTTTGCTTCCTTTGTGTGTGTGTTTTTGTATGTGTGTGTGTGGGTGTGGGTGTGGGTGGGTGGGTGGGTTTGGGAACAAGAACTGCTCATTTCTGATGAAAACTTCTATGCTATTGAAGGTGAGATCTAGTTTGCAGTTGCCAGCTTGGGGCTCAGATTCACTCCAAGATAGTTGGTGCACTGCAGCCGGAACATCCAGAATAGACCAGGTAGGCTGCACAGAGCATGTTTTCCAGGATTTGACTAGGAGTTGAGTATGAGTATTAGTGGGATTGATTATTGATTTTTCGGTGATACCTATGCAAGTATATGGCAGAGAGCATTAAAGTGGCATGTTTCTAAGTGGTATCTGCAAATATGACTAAAAAATGTCTTGTTCCAATTCTGAAGTGATTCATTCTCATCTAATACTTGCATAGCATTAATGTATGCTATTAGGAATTGTATGCCCCAAAGCACCTGACTTTAAACATCAGTCAAACTTAACAGATTTTCTCTCCTTTTAGAATTATTTGTAATTAGGAAACAAAGTTAATGTTTCTTTAATATCCATCCTCACATTTCATCTTAGTTTTGCAGAAATTTGAAGTAAATTTTTTTGTATGAAACCCGAAATGTTCACCTCCTCAAGATCCATATTGCTAAAGCAAATAAACAAAAGTTAAACTATTGTACCTTAGTTTGGCTTTTTCACCTTTATAAAAATCGGTACAGGATTTGTTTTCCTAAATTCTGTTATTCCTCTTGCTGACTGTCTTCTTCCAGATAATCGTTTCCTGTGGGGAAAAAAACCAGTCAAATGTAGCTGGGAGTCAGTCTTAATCAAATCATTTTTAAATTCTTTGTGGTTAGAAAATACCCTTTCTTCCTCGAAGACTGAATTTGAATGCCTGCGTGGTACCAGGTGATGAGAATTACTAGAGGACAAATGGAAAACTCAGTTCTCTGTGTACGAATGAGGACTCCTACTTGAGAACCCAAGTTTGAATATAAATAGATTTGACATTGTTTGGAGTTCTATAAATGGAGCCCTCTTATCCTTCGCACTAGGGATCTTCCTTAATTTATTAACATGATTTTACAAGTATGGACATTATAAATATATGAATAATGTATGTGTAAATAGCATTCTAATCCAGATGGTTATGGTAACATCAATAATTAACCATTAGCCATTGTTTTCGACAAGTCCTACCTATTTCCCAGAGTATTCCCACCAGGATCTCCATTTAGAAATAAGGAGCTCGCATGTAATTTGTCATTTATTGTCTTATTTATGTAAGTTAGCTCTCCAGCTACTACTGCTCTTTTCCACTTAGGCCATTTTGGTGATATTTTTATGTTGTTCAAATTGAATACATAAATGCCTAAAGAGAATACATAAAGGCCTTACCTTTCCAGAGAGAAGGAAAATTAGATTGTGAACATGGACTGGGACTTGTTTTGAGGGTGGAGGGGAAATAATTTGAGCTCGTTGGGAAGAAGCAGTAAGGTACCTAGATGAGAGTGATGTACCTCTGTGGAAAAGCAACAGATGGGAGAGATTCCATGGTGGGTGACACATTTAAGAAATTAGTTGGAGGAATGTTGGAAGGTACGAAAGGGGAAGTTTTCGAACTGGGCCCAGTAGAGATGCCATGGGACTGCCATGGAGCATGGCGTGAAGAGCCCCAGCCCTGCCCACGTCCTGTCAGTTGAAGCCTATTGTGTAACTTAGGGTTTTGGGGAAATTCGTTTTTGGAAGATGGAATTTTTGTGCTTAGTGGTAACCAATTTTTAAAACTCTGAGATACTGGGATCCCTTAAGCAGAATTGTGATGTGATGAAGTTTAGGAGAGTGGTGAAAAAGGAATTGGAAAACAGACTGAACTGGAAGGAAGGGAGGTCTGGAGTCTAATGCTCTTCCTCTTCTTCTCACAGTGTTTATGAGGCAGTGAGACATACCTATGAGCTTTCATCTCCGTGGGTCACAGATGCATCTCTAAAAGGAGACCCTGCAGTGGGCCAAGGGAGGCTTTTCTAACCTGCTCTTACAGTCCCTCTGATCTGTTTTGGTCACTTCATTTATTCCCCTTCTCTCAGCCCCTATAGTTTTAGGAAAATGGAGAGGGTTTTAGTTGTAGTGGGGCTAGTGATGAGTATTGTAACAAGGAATTGGTGGCGCATTGTAGACCAGCTGATCTTAAAAGCAGTGTTGATGTCTCCTTTGAGTACCCTAAGGGTATTACTTAAACACATACTAGTGATGTGTTTCTATCTTTCCATAAAAGGTTGAGGTATTTGAAGTTAAGGTTCTTGAAATTACAGCAGCAGCTTCCGACTACAGTTGGCCTCTTAAGTCATCAGGTGGATAGTGCTTTGGCAGAATTGAAATTATGAATAATGCTCTAGATTCATTTTTCTTAGAGCATTTTAATACTAATATTAATTAACCTACATTATTTTAAAGCACTTTTTATTTTCTTTAGTTTTAAGTTCATTAGACCCTCCCCCAAAATGATACTAGCACTATTAATTTTCATACCTGAAATCAAAAACTGAACATGTTATTTGGTTATTAAATTGGGAGACAATTCTATGTATTGATTTTATTTTAATTGAATGTAGGCATTTTCCTGAACAGGCTTCAAATTTAAAACTTTACAGAGAGTTTAGATTTTAAAATGAAGACTAAATATCCTCCAAAGCTTATTCAGTTGAAGCTCAAGAATTCCTTTCCTTTGAAGCGTCACCTGCTAGTTACCCTGGCTTGTTATCATACTCAAAAGTGTGAGTTCCAGGGTGAGGCAGACTGCCACAGAGGGAGGTGCCAGGCTTAGCTGGTCTGAGCTTAAGTTAGACCCCACACTCTATGTGCTGGCGTCTCTCCCCAGCCCAGCCCAGCCCAGCCCAGCCCAGCCCAGCCCAGCCCAGCCCAGCCCTCCCAGGCCTCTAGCACTGCGGCGTGTGCCTAAGGGATTCCGCTAACCCCAAGGGAACTCGAGAGACATTGTATCAGCACCCCTTCATCGGCCAGCCTCTCCTTCCCACCAGTCCACCTGCCCTCAGCTGAGCTAGGTGTGAGCCTCTATAAAAGTCTGAATTCTTGGGGCTGGAGCCATAGTACAGTGGGGAGGGCGTTTGCCTTGCATGCAGCCGACCCAGGTTTGATCCCTGGCATCCCATCTGGTCCCCGAAGCATTCCCGTGAGTGATTCCTGAGTGCAGAACCAGGAGTAAGCCCTGGGCATCGCCGGGTGTGACCCAGCCCCCTCCCCCCCCCCAAAAAAAGAAAATTTAGAGCAACAGACAGTAGAAAATAGAAAATGAAACAGAAAAGCTTCAAGGCCTAAGTATTTGAGATAAAATGTTTAAAAAGTTGTATGAATTCTGTATTGCCCTTAATTGATTTTTTAGTTAGATGTTAAAGCTAGGGCATACCCATTTATTCTGTAAATATTTTAAATTATAGAGTAATAATTCTATAGGGCTTATGTTGGCCTGTCTCCTAGCTGAGGAATAAGTAATATGTTCATTTTTTTTAATTCTTAGGGAAGTTGTATGCTATTCTCGAGCATGTCACATAAACTTTCTCAAACTAAAGATATTTTTGATTTTTATTATCTAAGCTATTGTAATGAATGGTAGTATAGAGATGTTTTTCAAGTAAAGATCGTATTTGTAATCTTTATTTACTTTAATATACTCATAAAAATACAGTAGTAGACTGTCTAAATTTTAATAAAGTGTTCTGCAATTGTGATTGATAAGCTTCAGGGACATTGTATTGTTATCAAAGCATTAACACCTACTGAAATTAAGAGAATAGATCATTTTTACAGTTTATTTTGGGCCCTGGTTTACCAGTGTGAGTAGAAGTTCACACAAGTCCCGTTCCAGAATCCACACCCTCCAAGCACGCGTGCACTTCGAGCCACCATTGTCCCAGCACCCACCGCCACCCTCCCCAGCCCTTGGGAACCCTCCTGCTGAAGACAGAGGCTTCATTCCATGGTTGTCTCCCTATTCTTCTGATCTCGCATCCTACATGCAAGAGCGAGTATCCTGCGTCTGTCCCTTGCCATCTGAGCTCATCAGTGTGATATTCTTCAGCTCCATCCAGATGGTAGCAGATTTCATGATCCAGTTTTACCTGACGGCCAAGTCCTGGTCCATTGTGTACTCAGTCTTCTGATCGTGGACACTTGGGTTGCTCCCAGATTCTGGCTATTGTGAATAGTGTCGCCATGAGCAGAGAAACGCAGATGTCTTTTCTAAATTGATTTTTGGATAGATGGCACAGAAGTGAAGTTGTTGAGTCATATGGAAGCTCAGTCCCTAGTTTCCTGAGAAGTTTCCATATTGTTTTCCAAAAAGAGACAAGTTTCTTTTCTTTTTTTTTTTTTTTTTTTTTTTGCTTTTGGGTCACACCCGGTGGTGCACAGAGGTTACTCCTGGCTCATGCACTCAGGAATTACTCCTGGTGGTGCTCAGGGGACCATATGGAATGCTGGGAATCGAACCTGGGTGGGCCACATGCAAGGCAAACGCCCTACCAGCTATGCTATTGCTCCAGCCCCAGGAGACAAGATTCTTATCCACGCTGGGCAAACATTGCTTTCTTCTTATGTTCCCTTATCCTGTGTTCAGCTCTTGAATTATTTCCGATATAGTCTTACACAAAATATTTTCCATTTGTCTTTCTGTTTGCTCTTACCCGTGTGAGTCCTCAAATAGTTTTAACCATTTTGATCTTTTTAAATTACAACTTAAGCAAGAAATTTCCTTTTCGTGTTGCTGCCATAACACTTCGTATAAGCAGAATAATAGAAGGAAATGTGTGCTGCTTTGGACAAACTGGCAGGCTACCGAATGTAACGTGCACACACGGCAGAGTCTGGCAAACTCCCCGTGGCGTACCCAATATGCCAAACACCAGTAACAATGATGGGTCTCATTCTCCTAACCCTGAAAGAGCCTTGAATGTGGCACTTTATAAAAAAAAGTCTCAGGGCTAGGACGAAGGAGACGTTACTGGGACCTGCTCGAGGCAATCGACAAACAACAGGATGGTCGTGATCGTGATCGTGTGCTGCTTATGTGAGAGTAATGGTTTAATTATCATTGGGCCACCCTAGGAAAGATGCTTGACCTTTGAGCAGATGAAAGCCCCGCTGACTGAGTAGGTGTCTGTGTGGGCAGCTGCAGACTCGGGTAGGAGAGGGAGGGACCAAGGGTACATCCACAGAGCAGCACATCGTTGTGGCTTGTTTAGTCTGGTGCAACGGCAGCAGGATGCTTGATGGCGATTTACTTTAAAATTAGAGACAGTATCAGTGCAACTTGGCTTTTTTTTTTTTAAAGTAAAAGTTGAAGAACTAAACACAAACATACAACAAAAGTTCCTCTTTCTGCTTAGCACAAAAGACATCATGTTCAAGCATCTGGTTTCTTTTTCAGTATGAGGATATAGGGTTTTTCAAGTGCCAACTTTTTTTTTTTAAGAGAGTACTTCATTGTCAAGGAAAAAAAGGTTCTATTCTGACTTCTTTTGAAATAGAAGACGGTTTTGAATATATCAAAGCAAAAATGTAACATTCCATAGAAAGTTCCCTTTTAAGTTTGAATTCCTTTGTGCTGCATGTTTTTATATTTTTGGTGACTCCTTATTTTTCAGAATTTACAATCTTTTCTTAGACCACCAGCTTTAAGATTAAGATTACTGTTTATTCTATTTTAATCTTTCCAATACTTGTTAGTCACTTTTATGGATCTCTGGCAAATGCCTGATTCAGGGAAATTATAAAATAATATTTTCCTCTTTATTGTTATTGGACTTGGTCATTGTGTTTCTGAAAGATGGTTTATTTGATTGTTCACCAGATAAGTTGTTTTGTGTTTTTAATTTAAAGTAGATAGGGTAAATTTTTCCTGATAAGTTATTTTTGTGAAATACTTCCAAATAGTAATATTACTATTTGGAAGTAGTCATGAACTACTAATTTTCTATACTTTTGATGCTAAACAGTAAGTGCTTATGGTTACTTTAACATTGTTTCAGCTTTTCCAATTTGACTTTTTAAACCATGGAAATTTTCATGAACACAAATTTTTCTAATATCTCTATTTCAAATGAATTTATGAGTATTTTGTTACAACTTTTTAAAAAACAAGTCCTATTTTAGTCTTTATACTTAATGAAGTTTTGTCCTTTTTTTTTTCTTGCATATGAACCCCATTGGTTTTCCTTAAATCCAAAAAGTGATTCGGAGATACCATGAGCTCTCCGCCTGCTTAAGGCTATTTTGTGTTTGGTGCTTTGAAAATCATGTGGGATACAGCTGATGCTCAACAAATTATAACAAAGCTAAAAGTTTAAAAACAGCTTTGCCACATTCTTTGCCAAAGTAGGAGTTTGCTTCATGATGAAAGACTTGATACTCAAAGGAAAACAATGGACCATATTAAGTGAACATCTCACTGTTTTAGTTGGACAGAGGTTAAAGCTGAAGTTATTAATGCATGCAACTTAAAATAATTGTAGGGTTGAATGTGTAGTGTTCACTGATGCTTATTAAGGAGCTTGCTTATCTTCTTCTTCTTCATCCCTTAACTGTTGCCCAAAGCTCATTGGCAGCATATATAGAATTACTTCATTAATTCTTTTGTGCCCCAAAGTAAAGTGCACTCTTGGAAAGGGTGGGCAGTGATAGCCAAAATGGAAGAGGGAAAAAATCTGTGTGGGAAAGAACCATTTTGGTCATGGTAAGTCACTACTAAGTTCATAGGTTGACTGAGGATAGTATTGGTCTGATTCTCTTTTCTTTCATTTTAAGAGCCAGCAAAGATACCCTTGAGCCAGAAAATGTTTTCTTTGCAAGATTTTAATGTAGGAATCAGAGGAGTTGTATAGCGGGTAAGGAATCAGAGGAATTGTATAGTGGGTAAGGCAAGCCAGCCCGACCTCTGTCCTTGGCACCACAAATACAGTCTTCTGAGGGTCCCCTGAGACATAGCAGAAGTGATCCTTGAGCTCAGAGCCAAGAGTAAGCCCTGAGCACAGCAGGGTGTGGGCACCCCCCACCCAACAGCAGCAAGGAAGAACTTAATGGTAAATAGTAATAAAATGCTTAATATATAGTCTATTTCAGGACCTGTAATAGAGCATACTTTAGCCATTTTTGCACAGGTTTTCTGGTAGTGATGCTACAGACATTTGAGAGTTAACAGTGTTCTGTAATTAGAAGATTCCTACCGCTAAGTAACTTGAAAGTTCAGTGGAATGGGCAGGACAGTCATCGAACTGGCGAAGTGTTTTGTAGAACCACTGAAGATGGAAATATTGGGTAGAGTTAGTATTTTTTTGCCAAAATTTTGTCAGATTTTCTCAAAGGACCATGTTCCTCTATTCCAATTTAATTTTTATTATATTCTTTGAGTCTTACTTTGATTTTTTTGCCTTTTGACTCTGGGCCTGCTCCTGGCTCTATGCCCATGAGTCCCTCCTGGGGGTGCTTAGGTCAGCACACATGGTGCAGCAGGTGTGAACTAGGGCCGGCTGCATGCAAGGCAAGCACCTTACCCCCTGGATTGGCTCCCAGCCCCCTCGTTTTCTTCTAAGTCAATTTTAGGCGTTGTCTAGTCTGGTAAAACCTAGTGTCTTGACTTACTCAAGATGAGGAAGCAGCTTGTTTCTCGAGTCTGGCCCCTGAGCCAGTGGGTTTAGCATCTCCTGGGGCTCATTAATAACACACATCCTCAGCGGCCACTCCCCATCTGTGGATGGGTCACCTCGGGCTGGCTTGGATGAGACCTCCACAGGATTTTGAATCACGTTCACATTTGTCACCATTCTAGAGTTCATCAGTTCTCCATGCCTCACTGGTCTTGTGACCCCTGTAACTGGCGGTGATTATATCTCAGGAATCTCAGAAGCAAAATGAGGAAGGAAACTAAGGCAGAGCTCCCAAAGTGGCCAAGTGCGGATGGAGAGCACTGGGTGTAGCATTCCTGCTCCATCATCCAGATTAACTTTTCACACATTTTAATTTCTTAACAGAAACTTGTTTAGTCTACAGTACTGATTCTGGCCCCTTCCGTTAAAACTCTGAAACCCTAATTTAGTATCAAAGTAAATAAGTCACCATACTCTCAGGAGAGTTGATTGTATGTTTATTCAGCCTTCTGAAAACCTGGCTTTGAATTCTACTCTGATTTGACAACCTCTTTAGATAGCCGATGAAAGACAAAATAAAAAAAAATTTAAGGTATCTGCAGGTATAAAATGTTATACTTAATCTTAGATTATGTAGTCCTTCTTGAAGCACCAGAACCCAGTTTGGAATCGCCATTCTGATTTTGTGGAGATCCCTGTTCTTATTTTTAGTCTTCCCTTTCCTTTTATTTATTTATTTATTTATTTATTGAATCACCGTGGGAAAGGTTACAAAGCTTTCAGGTTTAGGTCTCAGTCATGCAAATATCAAACACATTTCCCTTTACCAATACTTATTTTTTACCATGGTTTGCCCTGTATCTCTTATACAAGCCTACATTTCCTTCATTGTCTGTGCATGTGTGTGTGTTCCCTCTCCTCTCCTCTCCTCCCCTCCCTTCCCCTCCCCTCCCCTCCCCTCCCCTTCCCCCTCCCCCTTTCCCTCTTTCTCTCTGTCTCCCTCTCTCCTTCTCCCTCTCCCTCTTTCTCTCTGTCTCTCACCCTCTCTCCCTCTCCCTCAATCCCCCCTCTTTCTTTCTCTCTCTCTCTCTTTTTCTCTCTCTCTCTCTCTCTCTCTCTCTCTCTCTCTCTCTCTCTCTCCTTCCCCCCCTTCTCTCTCCCTCTCTCTCATGAATCCTAGCCCATTTTGGAAAACTCAAAAGCTGTGATGCAGCTCAGTGGCAGAGAGCCTGCCTCTCATGTATGAGGCCCTAATTTGATTTGCCTACACCATCCCACAGAAAACACCTAGATATTTTGTTCGGGTGGGGCAGCTAGAGTTTGCTGTGGGTACTGTGTTTGTTTAAGCACTCGAGTGTGTATTGAGCATCATTCAGTATAAAGTCATGACTGTTAAAATTCAGTTCTTTTTAATGAGCATTTTTAGAGACGTAAGGTTCAGAAAACAAAAATTTCTCATGATACTGAGATAGGAAACTTCTGAGAGGAGAATGTTTTCTGTTTCCTTCCCTGCCTGTCCTTTCTTGCAAGAGGGTGGGGGGGAAAGAGTGTTTAGAAATGCAGAGATCATTAGGTCAGGACATTAGTAAGCAAGACCTGAATGTTTTCTAGGTATCAGTCTTAGTTCTCTTGTTAGTAGTTTGTGCCTTTCACTGCACACAACTTTTATGCATTTATTATTATGAAACTCCAGTTGCTAAGTCAAGGTACAGCCTTTGATAGATGTTTGAAGTATGGTGCTATTATGGGATTAAGTTTTTCCCACCTTCACCTCCAATACTTACCTTCAAGGTTCAATATCCGTCTTCTAGATCATGAGAAAAGTTTAGAAGTTAAATAACTAAAAATGAGGGGCTGGAGCGATAGCACCGTGGGTAGAGCGTTTGCCTTGTTTGCCTTGCACGTGGCCAACCGGTTTCAATTCCCAGCATCCCATATGGGCCCCTGAGCACTGCCAGGAGTGATTCCTGAGTGCATGAGCCAGGAGTAACTCCTGTGCATCTCTGGGTGTGACCCCAAAAGCAAAAATAACCCTAAAAATGTTTTTTATTATCCTTCCAATTGAGAATTAAAATAGAAATGATTTTTTTATTGTATTACATTAATACTTCCAGTGAAATAAGACTACTTTTGATATGTGATTTTGGAGAAAAATGTATTAAATATATTGTTCTCCAATTTGAGATACTGTAAGATATGAGATCCTTATTGCTGTTTTGGTCATGCAAACTGATTAGTACATATTAATCAGGTGCCCTGCTCTATGTGAAAATATTGAGATACTTATAATTGCTTTTGGAAAAAAGTGCATCAATTATATTGAATCTTTTTCCCTTCTCTTCTAGGATCGAAGTAGAATGTATGACAGTTTGAATATGCACTCTTTGGAAAATTCCCTTATTGATATTATGAGAGCAGAACATGATCCTCTAAAGGGTAGGTGCCTTTTTAAAATGTAATTTCTTGTGTCACTCATAACTTGCTTTGCTTAAAACTTTCTCTTCAGAAGCGAGTACTGCAGTGTGCCTACTTTGCCAGGTGTTCTGCACCTGTGCTGAGGACCTTTCTGGGAAGGGGCATGCTTTCCCCCTGCATCCAGATAAAATGCAAGACAGAAACAGAAAAACCCATTTCTCGCCTTGTAAGATAAAGCCATGTCAGAGAGATGCTCTATGATTCACCAGAAAATAAAGAATGAATCCAAAAGTGTATGGTCGTCAATTTTCTAGAATTCTAGCAAATACAGTACTAATGGATTTTTAAATTCCTTTGGGAGACATACATTCACAGCAGGCAGTAACCTGGAATTGTCCTAAACTGCCACTGTCACTGTCTCTGTCCTCCCGTTGTTCATCGATTTGCTCGAGTGGGCCCAATAACATCTCTATCGTGAGACTCGTCGTTACTGTGTTTGGCATATTGAATACGCCACAGGTAGCTTGCCAGGCTTTGCTGTGCAGGCGAGATACTCTCAGTAGCTTGCCGGGCTCTCCGAGAGGGGTGGAGGAATCGAACCCGGCTCGGCCAGGCTGGCTTCACGCAAGGCAAACGCCCTGCCCGCTATGCTATCGCTCCAGCCTGCCCTAAACTGCATTCCCGTTACATTTTTTTTCCTTTTGTCGTACATCAGGGTTTTGACAGACAAGGGTATTTTACAGTAGCTTCTCTGAGGTGGAGAAAGCTTTTCATAAATTTGGGGCACATTAGAAAGAAAAAAAACCAACCCACAGATAGTATCAGTTTTACTTATTATTAAAGGTATCTGAGGAATTGCCCTTAACAGACTAATGTTTTATATTGAACTTGAGTTTATGGGGATAATTACTTGCCTATTGCTGCATAGTATCCCCAAACTCAGCAGCTTGAAATAACAACAAACATTTATTACCTCACATGGTTTCTGGGTGTTGAGAATTCAAGAGTAGATTAACTAGTTGGTTCTGACTCAGAATCCCTCACAGAATCAGAGTCATGGGTTACCTCGCAAGCCTTGGTGTTTAATTCCTAACGCCAAGAAAGAATTTCCTCTCAAGGTTTATTCTGTGAACTCTAGAATTTAGTATTGGCACTCAGGTGGTGGCCAGGGGTAGACAATACTGATCAGAAGTCTCAGCATTTTTGTTGTGTTTTGGATTTGGCTTGTGAAGGGGTTTCTTGTCTAAGTCCTTTATTTTGAAGGAGCTTGAGACACTCAGGGAAATCAATAGTGATTGTTGCTGAAGTATGATAGTGGTGCTTCTCCCAAACTGACAAGACAGTTTGGCTTTGTGTGGGGGCCAGGAGGGATTGTTTGCCTCTAACCAGAATTCAGCTGAGTGTTTTGAGTGTTCTCGTCACTGCTAGTGCTGACAGTTCTAATGGCATTTGTCTTGGATCCATTTTTTTAGATTAAAAGCCAGCAGCTTATGTTTACGAAGAATTGACTTGTGTTTATTTTCTTGGCTTATCTAAAAATAAAACTCTTGGAAAGTCTAGTACAAGATAGTCATTGTTAACTATTACCAGTGGATAATGCAACGTTTTCCGTTGATGTTTCTCTAAATCTTCTTCAGGAGGATCTTGAAGATGTTGAGAGAAAATATTCTGTGCGACACTATTATTTTGGTTATCATTTGTTCCAGCATGCATGATAATAAACCATGAAGAGGAAATCAGGAAGAGGACTTTGAAAAAGAAAATAGATGCAGCAGAAAGCTGGGGAAATTTTGTTTTGTTCTGAGTTTGGGAGCCATACCCGGCAGTGCTCTGAGGTCAGGGATCACACCTGGCGGGACTCGGGGGAGGACTGAATGGGATGCGAGGATTGAACCCAGGTTGGCCACATGCAAGGCAAGCACCTACCTGCTGGGCTGAGGCCAGCTGAGGAACTTAACAATAGAAAACAAAGTTTATGTAAATTCAGAATTTCCTTAAGAGGATGTCCTTGACTTTGGGAAGGGGTAAACCATTCCCACTCACAGCCATTAGGAGTCCTGGTAATAGAATTGATTCTCATTGAAATATTGCATAGGCCACGTTATTTTATATTTAATATTTTATATGCTACAGAATGGAAATTAAAAGGGAAGAAAACAGTATTTCAGACCTCTGCAGAGAAGAAACTAGACGGTATTTACACATGCTGCCTTTGATTATTTATTTAAATGATCTGGTTGGCCAAGATTTGCTGTGTAGTTTTTTTTCCGTCTTTGTCATCGCAAGACTCTCATCTTCCTTCTTCCCAAATTCTGATTATTCCATCTCTTCTTTGAGTTCAGCCTTGTGTAAGGCAAGGATGTAACAAATCGAAAAAAAGCATTTCTTTTGTTTGTCTGCCTTTGTTTCCTCATCTTTGACAGTCCTGACCCTCAGGGTGGTGGTTCCTCCTCAGTGGCATCTCCAGTCTCATCCCTTTCAGAAAATTCTCTCCTCATACACCAGAATAGTCTCTTCGAAAAAACAAAATCAAATTTTCAGTCCATATTTTTAGTCCAATCAAATAAATGCTATTTTAGTCTTACTTGTTTTAAATCAGCCATTTGCTTTGTCTCCTCATGGAATATAATGGAAAAGGAGAAGGGTGCAGTAGGGTGAGACTTTAAGAAGAATGTCTGCTTCCCTTTATGCTAGTAATAAAAGTTTCTAGAAAATACTCCAAACTTGCATGGCGAAAGATTACATAACAATTAACCTTCAGATTTAGCAAGTTGGGACAACAACCAGCATTGCCTCACAATTTCTGTGAGTTGAAATTTCAGAGCAGTTTAGCTGAGGGTCGCATGAGAGGGCAGTGAAGGTGGCCATGAGACGGGCCCCACTCAGGTCGGCCTCGTCCTGACCCGTGATGGCACACAGGGGCTACTGCGGCTGCTGCCAGGGCGTGCGCTTCATCACACGGAGACTTGGCCATGACTTTACTGCACTCTAGACCGTTGCTAGCGGTCCAAGAGAATGGTGACACAGAAGAAAGCCTGACACAGAAAGACCAGTATCTTGTGTGACCTTTCAGAGGTCTCCCACTGCCATTTCGTGACATCCTTCTGGTTACCTCAGTTCCACTGGCAAAGGGTCTGCTCCTCGACTTTCTTAGAGAGGAAAGGGAGAAACTCAACTCAAGTTGCGTCCTCCTAGAGGAAAATAGAAACCTCAGGAGGTGAGAGCTGATGCCATGAGAAAGAAGGTCAGGCAGGCAGATCCCTCTAGAATCCAAGGAAAGTGAGTGGCAGATCAGCAGCCTGACTCAGAATTGCCTTTAGTGTATGGACAGAAGGACCCTCCTGTCTGCACTGAAGTTCGGACAGGCTCTGCGGCTTCCCCCTTCTTTCTTACTAGCTCCCATGTTGGTGTTTGGGCTCCAGCCTGGCTCTGCCCTGGGATCACTCCTGGCTGTGCTCTGGGGACCATGTGTGGTGCCAGAGATTCCAACTGGCGCTGGCTGTGTGGGCTGTGTGCAAGGCAAGAACTACACCCGCTGCAGATATCTCTGTGATAAAGAAGGATGCCTAGTTCAGGAGTTCGTATTTGCCTAGCCCTATTACTGAAGTCAAACTTTTCACAAATGCCTATATATGTAGAGAGAGGGGGGAGGGGTGAATGAAAGAAAGAAAGAAAGAAAGAAAGAAAGAAAGAAAGAAAGAAAGAAAAAGAAAGAAAGAAAGAAAGAAAGAAAGAAAGAAAGAAAGAAAGAAAGAAAGAGAGAGAGGAGAGAGATGGGAACATTAGAATGGGAACATTCAAAGAAGGATAATTGCAAAGGGACTACTGTGTATTAGTTTAGTTTTTAAATAAAATGGTTTCATTTATTTTAAGAAAGAATAAGTAAAGCATACACATTCTTCTCCCTGTGTTCCTTTGGGAAACAAATCTCTGATGGGAAGAAACCATCAACTTAAAAACACTGACAGTTACAGGGTCCAAAGGTAGCAGATAGGGTAGCAGTTAGGGTGCTTGTCTTGCACGTGGCCAACCTGGGTTTAATCCCTGACAACCCCCCCACCCTTCTGGTCCCCAGAGCCCTGCGAGGAGTAATCTCTGAGTGCAGAGCCAGGCGGAAACCCTGAACACTCTGGGTGTGGCCCCCAAACAAAAAAAATTCATAGCGAAGCCATATGTATTAAATACATGTGGACGTTTTAAGAGATGACCGCTGTGGTTGAATTATAGCCTGTTCATCCGAGGAAAGTCCGGTTTACAAAACTTACCTTTAGTCACTAGTTGTGTGAATTCTGCAGGGAAAACTCATTACAAAAATGTAATTTTTGTCGTAGAAATGTTGTTTAGAAAAGTTACTTGAAATATGCTATGAGTAGATATTTTAAGTTTTATTTATTTTTCTTCATTAGAAACAGGTATTAAACCTGTACAGTTATTCTAAGCAAGTTTGAATACTTAGCTAAGTGATTCTATCAGATTCAAGCTACAGTTTCTTTTTTTATATGCTGAAACTCATCAGATAAAAATAAGAAAATTTTAATCACTCTTCTGCAGGTTATTTGTGCGTTTTAAAAAGTCTGTTCACCAGCAAGCATCTTTTTTAAAGCTTTTAAGTATGGGCTTAGAACCTGCAGTGATAAGTACTTGGAATAGTAATTATGCCTGTGCTTAACTGCTTATACCATTTGAAGAGTATCTGAAGGTCTCAAATGACTTACTTCCCTTCAGAATATAGGACCTTGTCCTTTTTTTTTTACTTTGATTATTTGATATTATTTATTTGATTTTTTTTAAATTTTTTTTTTTATTAGTGAAACACCATGAGGTACAGTTGTAGATTTACAATCTTCTGTGCTTGGGTTTGATTATACAATGATCAGATACCCATCCCTCCACCAGTGCCCATTTTCCACCACCATGGATAATATCCCCTCCACCCCCATCCCCCCATCCACACCCCCCCCCCCCCGCCTCTGTGGCAGGGCAATCCCCTGTGTTTTCTCTCTCCTTTTGGGTGTTGTGGT